GACTAGTAAATGATATATGTAGGAATAATGCAAAGACAGAGTTGGTTTTAATTTTGTAAGGTCTTTTTAAATATTACTATTATTCTTTACTTTTAAGCTCAAGACTCAAAGAACTTTCAGTTGGAAAACCTCCAAAAATAAAGTGTTCTTTCATATACTGCTGATAAAAGTATAAATTGATTAAACTTTTCTAGGGATCATGGTAGTAACAAAAGCTTTTAAAAACTGGCATACTTTCTCCACTAGCAATTCTACCTCAAAGTATTCACCTCAAAGAAATAATTAAGAAGATATATACCAACACAATGTTCTTTCAAGCATTGTTTATTAGTGAAAATATGAAAACCTAAAAAAATTCAACAGTAGTTTAATAAACTGTGGCACATATAATGGAATACCATGTAGTCATTAAAGATTTAGAAATATATTTGACAAGGCAAGATCATCATGGTATTGAGTGGAAAATGTTACAAAACGGCATATACAATGTGATCTCATTTAAACAAAAACTCTATGCACAGAAGAGAATCTGGAAAACTATGCACTTAATAGTTCTCCAGGACGGTGAGAGCTCTCTAAACTATATATATATATACTTTTACCAAGAAGTCTATGGCACATTATATCAAAGAATTAACAGTGTTTAAAAAGTCTCCTTTGAAGTAGTAGTGACATCAGAGCTTAGCTACCCAAGAGGCACAAGGTGCATGTCAGTCCGATATTGCTTCATGGTGCCTTGATGTTAAATTGTCACCAACTAAAAGGCAGAGTGCTGAGTGGAAATGTAGGTGGTGGCAGTGCTTACCTCTCTTGTTTAAGGGATCCATTCTTAAAAACCTTCCATGACAACTGAGTACTGGCCTTCTAAGCAATAAGAGGGAGCTTCAAAATGAAATGGAAAGATGAAAATTACCCACAAACTTTTTGAAGCCCTCTTGTATTTCCTTATACTAAGTATATCCTTATTCTTCATACTAAGTATATTCTTCACTCTTCATACTTCACACTGAAGTAGCCAAGCAAAGTTCCTCTACACTGGGTGAGGGCTACAAAAGGCAGGAAGAATGTTTCAAGTTGTTAGCTAATAGACCTGAAGTTGAAAGGCAGGCTCCCATGGGTCTACTGCAGGGGTCGTCAAACTTCGGCCCATGGCCACATGCAGCCTGCCGAGGACATTTATCCGGCCCACAGGGCGTTTTTGCCCCATTTTGTTTTTTACTTCAAAGTAAGATATGTGCAGTGTGCATATGAATTTGTTCATAGTTTTTTTTTTTTTAAACTATAGTCTGGCCCTCCCACGGGTCTGAGAGACAGTGAACTGTTTAAAAAGTTTGAGGACCCCTGGTCTACTGTATAGGTCCTTGAACTTTGCAACTGAAATAATCTGGAAGGTTCAAACATGTAGGGCACTGCTGGGCCCACGCCACCAAAGTTTGTCAGTAGGTCTCAGGTAAAGCCGGGGGAGCTACCCCATTTTTCTCATTCCACAAACACTGAGTACGTGTTATATCTAGGTCTTGGGCCTAGAGTTGGATATTTAACTGTGATTAAAGAGCCATAGCTCCTACCTTAGGGAAGCTACACTGTAAGAGTGTCAGATAAATATTAAATAAAGTATAAAAATATTTATATGATTACAATCATGATTAGTGGGAGGGCACAGTTAAAATGAAGAGATATGGTTTTTGTCTTAAAATAGTTGAAAAGCTGTCATGGAAGAAAGGAGTTTATTGGCCCCGTGCTTTAAAGTGGCTTGTTTCGGTTCGACACTGGTGAGAAAAGGGTTCCCCAGGTGAGGCTATAGGAGTCACCTGCGGAGCTTGTTCCACTGTAGATACCAACTGAGTAACATCTGGGGTGCAAAGGCAAGTTCTCAGCAGTTGGTTCCACCTAAACAAACTGACCTATGGTCCTTTCCAGGCCTTTGGAGACAAGATAAGCAAAACAAAACAAATTTCTGAGAAACAGGAATTCGCATGAAAAAAATCAAGCTCCCAGGTGATGCTGATGTTGATGGTATGGAGACCACACTTCAAGACCCATTGCTTTACATAGGCCAGCTCTCTATGAGGGACGGCGGAAAGGGCAGGGATGGTTGAGGAACTCCTCCTCCCAGTCCCACCCCTTTGCAGCTTACCTGGAGCTAAGAGTCACTTGATCATATAGAGGTGGTGGTGTGGCAATGCTGGCTTTTGACCAAACTGGGAAGCCATCTGTGCATTATGACTCTTTACCTAGCCCTGAAGTGCAATCTACTAGGGCAACATATTTCAGATTTTCAGGAATATGGGAGGTAAAGACTTTTTAAGAAATTTTTTTCCAACAAAGCAAAGAGGGAAGCTGGTTCTCTCTTGGTAAAGTTTCAGCTTTTTTTTACCCTTCCACTCTCATCTTCTCCATTCTATAGTTTATCTAAAAATGTTCTTCCAAAACCTGCTCCTCCAGCTTCATTCTGCTATCCAGAACAATGGCAAACCACAAGGGTGGGTTCTAGTCCACTGGTGATAGTAGGCTCACGTTTATTTTCCATGCAACGCAGAATAGGGCACATCCCATTTTTGGGACCTAATCTCCTGCAATATTAATTAATTTTCTGTTTAGCACCATGAATACAGATTTAACACCATGCCCTTTTGGATTGGAGGGACAAAGATAGGTATAATCACATTTCTCCTTTCAAGAGTCTACAGTTATTTTCAAGTTTATCATTTCATTTATATATACACCTGTCATATGTTACTATAGCTGTAGGTAAAGCTCAGGAGGCACAGTGCTTATCTAAGTATTCTGAATCACATAATGAATAGACTTCCCAACTTTCCTCCTATGCCTAAGAGCCTCAATAGGCCTTTACCTGAGCAAAACCAACCAAACAAAAGACCCCAACTAACACCCCTCTAAAACACAAAGCAATAAGTGGAAGAACAAACTCACACAGTGGGAATTTGTGTCAACAATCACAAGAAGCCTTTGAACTCTTCTTAACATTATAGAAGGCTTCTGGACCATACTGAGTTACTATAATCTACACCGACTTTAAGGAAAGCAGAAGTATCTGAAGAAGAATTTACACCGTGGTTAAACCTAGACCTGGGTCTGTTTAGAGATGGTGAAGGATAGGCTAGCACAGAGACTAGAGCATATATATAAAAGAGGTTTCTTATACACAGTCATAAATAAGGTCCACAGTCTGGGGAGTTAATAATCTAAAGGGGCTAACAAGCAGCAGCTATCTACAGAATGCATCTAGGTGTGAAGTCTTTCCCCAAAAGCACCTAGCCTACAAGATAACATTTGCTACATAAACTCCAAAACCCAAAGGTGTCATACATATTATCCTTATTTTACATTGTATAACTTCAGAGAGATGAAGGTAGGTGAGTAAAGACTGGATTTGAGCCCAGGATCATTTTTACTACATTACCTATATTTTCTCCTTTACCGCCCTACTTCCCCCAAATTGAATTTACAAGGGGTGTTTAGATGGATTGAATCTTTGACATGATCTTTCAAAGCTTAGACTTGGATTTACCAATAATAAAATGGTACTCCACACTGTAGAGGTTCCTTTGGGGGCCAGTCGGAGGGATTCATTCACTTGGACCTATCGATAATCACCTGTGCAGACTTGAGATGCTTCCAGAGCAGGACACTTAATACTAGACTCACAGCATTAGGGTTCCTACCCTTGAAGTATCTCAAATCTGTTGTAGAAGAGTCTTCTACAACTGTACTCAGAAAAAGCACACAAGAATTTCTCTCATAGTATAGACATAAAATAACAAATGCTGTTGAAAAGTCTGGAGTATAAATCAGTATGTTTACCAATTATTTGGAGCCCTTAACACAAGGATATTTTAAAATGGTGTTTTAAGTATTCATTATTCTTAACAATTTCTCAAAATAAAAATCTGCTACACTAACATTTCTCAAAGAAATAAACTACACCTTGCACTTCACACTAAGTCACACTGAATTTCTTTCTAGAGGTCAGAAAGTGCAATGCTTTATTGGTTCCAGGAATGGCACGTCTTGTTCCTTCTGCCTGGAACGTTTCGTCTCCAACCACTGGACTTCTTGAACCTCGGAGTGTGCATTAGGTGCCTCTCCTACATCCTCCCCCAAGCACTATGCTCTTTCTTCCATTAGAGCACTCTTCATATACCTTTCTTTCTCTGTAGTCCCCACTAGTCTTTAAGCAACAAAGGAGCTTAAGGGGCTCTCAAATGTTTGTTTAATGAATGACATAAGTTCTAACAGAGACATAATTTGCCAATGCACAGCAATTCTTTAGTCCTCAAAGGACACCTAAGTTATTTCATTAAGGACAAGATTACTGTCTGTATATGTTTGCTCTATTGTACTATGTCCATATTTAAGGAATAAGATTTGCTGATTTGTAAGAACCAATCTTCATCAACTCTTCAAATTTTTAATGTTTATACTTTTAAAAACTCTCTGAGTACTAAAAACCAAGTATTTTCTGCCTTGTTACCCGAAAAGTCTTTTTGGGAGATGTTTTATTGCATATCCACTGATAAACTGTTCTAGTCAGGAAAAAAGAGAAATTATCTTTACTCTTTTAAAAATAGATCCAGTTCTGATTATTCACTAATTTTTGCCAATTGAACAATTTTAAAAACACTGATTTAGTGAAGTGAACATGTCCTAGATGTTTTAGCACCTTAACTACAGATATATTAGCATATATAGTAAATACAGTAATGCTTTTCCAGAACTAGTTCTTAAATTAAAAATAAATCATTTAGTAAAGTTTTTTAAAAAACAATAACCCCATCAAATCATTGAAATCATTCTATTTCTGTTGGAAAATAAGGTAAACAAGGTATAATTGCATTTCTGTTTATGGACGCATTCATCAGAAGCACATTCTTAACAAAAATGGTTTGTATTCCAGAGTTTTTTAAAATCAAAATTAAAAAAATAAAATTTAAAGTTATTCTTTGGCTATTAATTATACCTAATAAATGAGTCAGTTATCCATTCACAATAAATTTATTTAACATAAAAGAAAAAGCTTGCCATTAATGAAAAATTCAGTAGAAAACAGTTCAGTTTTAAATTAGAGCTCAAAAGTGGAAGCTGTTTGTTAGTGAGATCTCAGTAGAAAGAATTTTGTAAGAAAACATTCTTGGCATGAAGCGCTAACATAAAAATGTTTGTAATGAAAAATTTACCATGCAACTTTATTGGCAGAAAGGCTTGTTTCTGTGGCTGGTATTTTCTTTTTAGTGTCTTAAGACATTAACACGAAGATGCATAAACCTGCTTACTTTAGAGTTAATGGTAGGTATATAAATATGGTGTCATGATATGTAATCCTTCCACAGTCCACCTAGCTAATTGAGCAGTTCTAAGTAGGTAATGGGCACTTTGCCTTTCTGATTTCCCCTTTCCCCCATTAGCCAGTCTGAATCCATTCCAATGACACTGAACACAGTGATCACCTACAAAACAAAATATTTCCTGTTATTAACTGTACTCAAAAAGCCATCAGATAGAACATATTAAAATGAGCATTTAATTAAACAAGTTAAAAACTAGATTTAATTGTTCAAGCTATTCACTATCAGTTGTGAATTGTGCTAAAAGACATAGGATTTTACTGGAGATAATTGTATCATTCAGTAACTAAGCAGTTAAGTTTTAAATATCTCTGTGATATTCTATTATGTGAATAGTAATCAGAAATGTAGTATTATCTTTGGAATCTATAAAATCATTTAAGAAAAGCTATTTCCAAATACGTAATGAGGAATTTTCACTTTTAGACACCAGAAGGCAGGTCAATTCATGGCAGTTTTCGTTTCCTACTCGCATTACTTACCTCATCTGCCAGAAGTGATAATTCACTACTGTTTGCAGCATCATAATCATAGAGAACTCTGGCCTTCCTGTTGCCAGTACACTCCTTAAGGTCACTGAGGTTGCTAGCAGAGCTGATTACGAGACCACTTGTTGAAGCCATGCCAGAAGGGCCAATTATACTTGACAAAGTAGGTGGTAGATGTGACTGATTGTTGTTAGAAAGATAATTAGATGGAAAACTGTTGGGGGACAAAATAGGACAATTATCCATTTCCAAGTGACTAAAATTCCTTAATCCTACCACTTGGTGGCACTGCTTACTTTCTACCAACTTCCACTTTGGAAAAAGATTTAAGCATTAAATGCAATATTTAATGAAACAATGTGTCACCTAGCTTCTTTTTCTTCCTTGGCCAATTATATTAGGGACCACTTAGAAGTTGTGCAAATATAAATCTACTAACATTTTCTTTAAAGCCGTCTTTATTGATGACAGGGATCCAAAGAAAATGGAATTACAAGATAGGGGCTCGCCCACAAACTGTTAGAAGCCGCTTCCTAATTGTTATTTATTTCCCGAAGCTTGTGCAAAGGCTTCACTTTAAAGAACATTGGTAAGTTCTATCCATCTTTACCTTCCTTTATTGTCAAATAAAATTATCCATGAAAAACCACTTAAATATCAGGTTGATGGAGTCTCAATAAGACTGCTCAAATAGAAACCCTTCAATGATTCCTCAGCTCAGCGTGAAAGTCAAACCCTATCAATGGATTTCAAGGTCCCATGTCCCTAAGCTCTCCATTTCCTTTCATCTGCCCTCCTGATGTTCCTTCAACACCGGCTACATCCCACTTCAGGGTTTTGGACTTGCTCTGTCCTCTTCCTAGAGCACACTTCCTTCAGATGCCTACATGCTTTGCTCTCTCATGGTTTTCAGGTCTGCCTTCCAAGACTACTGCAAACCTCTACTTCAACTGAAGTAGGTTCCTGCTTTATCTTTCTCCAGAGCATTTATCACCTAAGGTAAGTGCTCAACTACTAGACAAAGTTGATGGCAGAATTGCGCCCAAAGGGCATCTCAGAAGACAGGTCTAGTCATGTGCTTCTGAAAGATCACGGCTTTCAGACCTCTAAGGAGGGCAGTTTTACCCCTCTGACATACAAGGTTGGCCAGGAGTTGGAATGGATTCAAGGGCAACTAGTAATAAAACTTTACTTTTAGATAACAAACACTAACATGAATTATTAAAAATAATCAATAAAAAACAATGATGAAATATCTTTTCTTTTACTGCTTTAAAAACAGCAGTTAATGCGAATTGTGAGAAAATATGATAAGGTAAGAACAGTGGAAAACTGAATCCCTAAGTACGATAAATATGGTTTCCTAAATGCTGCCGATCTCCCCTTTTCCTTGCCGACTCCACTCCACTCCGATCCCATGCCATCCTTCCTCCCATTCGGTTTCCAGTTCTCCGATAGTTGTCTCTCCCTACTTCTACTGCCTCTCTCTCCCCATCTTTCCTCAGCAACTTCCTTCTCTCATTTCAACTCTCTCAAGTTGTATTACTCATTTCCCCAATGACTTGTCATAATCTTGTATGGGCATTTAATATGCCTTATATGATGAAGTTTCAAAAAGTTCATGGAAAATATAACTAAACGACAATAGAGAATTTTCCCATGAACTTTTTAAAGCCCCCTTACATATATTGGAAGGCCTGCCAATCTACTTCTAAAAAATCAGTCATGGAAAATCACTCTATGGATCACAAGCTCTATTCTGACACAAGTCAGTAATTAGTACTCATAATTACTACCATGCAACTGACAATGCAAATTGATTTTCTGCTCTGCTCCTGCCCCTCAAAATTCTGTACAGTTTTATTTCAGCTATACTGTATTTTAGAAAAGTGCCTTTTGAAAATTACAAATCATCTGGGTCATTTTCCAAGTTCTGCCATAGGCTGTTTCTATCTATTGTCCTAAAAAACAGCAACTTGTTATAAATGAAAGGTCTGCAATTCCTTCAAATGCTTATCCATATAAGCAACACAACTGTTCGAGGGCAGAGAGCCAGACTAGACTTTCCTTCCCTAAAATGACAGCACCGACTTCACTTTGCACGGTTTGAGCCTACCTGGAAGCACAGTACTAACTACACTGTGTTCAAATGGCTGAGTTCCAAGCATTTGTGGGGCTTTAAGCAAAGTGGTGAATCCTCTGGGTGGCACAGTAAAATAATTAAGTGCTCAGCTTCAAAGGTTGGCAGTTCAAACTCATCCAGAGGCACCCTGGAAGACAGACTTGAATATTTGTTTCTAAAAGGCAGGAGCCTTGAAACCCGGTAAAGCATTGCTGCTTTTCAACACATAGGATCACCACGTCCACAGCCACCACCAACAAAGCAAAATGTTTAAATATGAATGGTAACAATAGCAACTCTTCTGCTGTACTTCCAGAGTGTAAGAAAAGAAAAGGACAGCGGTTGGTGTGAGATATGAAAATAATAACAGTGCACAATCTACCAGGAGGTTATGGGGGG